GGCTAATATAAGGTAAGTACATGGGTTAGGGGTAGGTTCAGGGTTAGTACCTAGTTATTACCCAGTAATTATAATTACTATAATAAGTACATAGTAAGTACATGGGTAACAGGACTGTAAAAGGAAGCGTTATCCACTTTTGTTAAAAAGATTACATTTTAAAAACTACAGGGTACATATCTATTATATCTATTTATAAAGCCTATACAGTATACTGTACTGGTTCACCATTATTTCAAAAAGGTACGCAGTGTATGTTCTTGCTAAATTGATCACAAATGTAAGATTGTTATATCATAATAGTAGAATAAGTACCCCTTAGTTCTATAATACTCACAATATTAATCATTTTTTAATTCTCCTGGTTGTTACCCCTTTATTCCCCAAACTTAAAATATTGTTCCCTTATACTTATATTGTAAGTACGTTATAGGTACACTATAATTACCGAAGGTTACGCTGTAAAATTGCTTTAATTACCCAGTACTTTCCGGGCTGTAATCTAAAGCGTTACCGTGTGTTCTTTTCAAACTAGAGTGATTTGTTGGAGTATTTTCTCACACACCAAAATCTGGTCAGCAAGAACTGAAAAAGTAATGCTGTTTAAGAGGAGGAATTAAAATCCTGTTGATTTGTTATAATACAGTTAATCCTAGACTATCAGTGTTTATTACGGGCTTTCAGTCTTGCCGGCACTTAAAGCCTGAGGCTTTGGCCGTAGTGGGACTATTTTTGTTGGGAGGAAGAAAAACAAACCATAAATAACTGGTCAAAGTTGGTTTTGAACAAGTTATTCAGTATTTATTCAATAATCATAAAGCAACTTTGTTTAACTGTAGAAGCTGTATAACTTCTGCCATTATTTTCTGGACATGTACACATTGTTTTTACTTTTCCATTTTTCGATGTTCTTTCTTATCAGTAAATTCACCTTTTGATTATTACGATTGCCTGTGATGTTACTGTAGTCATTCTTCGTGTGTTAAAGTCCCCCTGTGGTGAAAATCAAGTGTTTAATGTTGTTTATGTCTATGTGGTTTGCTTTAATGTGCATTAAGACAAACCATGTGCAAATTCATTAGTCAACACCATTGCTGAGTATTTTCTTCTTAAAACTGCAGTGAATCAAAGACAGTCTCAAAAACACGGTTTGAAACCGCTGGTGTTTCTGACGTCACAAACGACCTTTTAACCAATCAGCTGCTGTGAGTGAGTAGAGGCAGGGCTCATTTGCAAATTCATAGAACCATGTATATACTAAATGAGGGTGTAGAGTTACATTCAAGCTATTTTAAAGCATGAAGAATTTTTTTACAAGGAAAAAACGTTTAAATATGTCATTTTGGTCATCAAAGATGAGTTTTAATAGATACAATTATTGACTACAGGGAGACTTTAAAGTGAGTTTTAAGTAAGTTGTAACCCAGCATTATAGTAATTTTTAAACAATAGTTGATTTAAAAAGCAGCCCAGCATGTTGGGTCAAACATTTAACTCAACTCAGCATTGGGTTTGTCATTTTTGACCCAGTGCTGGGTTGCCAACTGACCCAAATGGGTTGATTTGAACCTTTTTGGACTGTAAGCATCCTATTCAGTAGCTTGCATAACATGGGATATAGCATGCTTTTGTTAAAAGAAAAAAAATATAGTAGTAATCTGGTTGTTTTAATCACTATGTCCACCAAGGACAAAATCACATGTTACATTTCTGTGTGGCTGTAAAATGTAAAAAATGTCCATTTAAAAGACTTTCTTGTGAGAATCAGTAAAGCTCTATAATAAAGGAAGCTACAATCTCTTTAATGGGCTCGGTATAAAGTCCATTATGTGCTTCCTCCATTTTGCCTCGACATCACATTAGCCACTACCAGCCTGAAGTGGGTGGTGTTTTGTTACATCATAAAATGTTATGAGAGCTATTACAGAGAGCCATCATCCTCTGCCACTCCATTGAGATGCTTGCAGAGAGAGACATTCGGGGTGGGGGAAGGGCTCTCTTTAGAGACACCACTTACCAGGTGAGGGGCCTTACATAAAGGCTTTCAGTGTCTGGATACATCCGAACAGGTACAAAGTCGGGAAATATTAAACACAATTGTTTGTTGTGTCTTGATAAAAACGGCTGAATCAAGTGAGCAACAAAAAAACTATAGTAATCTAACTGCCTAGCTTTTTTTAGTTTCCCTTTTCATTAGATTATTCCTAAATCAATCTATTCAACTGATCACTATGCTATCAATTCTATTGGAAACTGATTCTGTGATTCGGGTAAATATTCACTTACGACTAGTATATATTGTCCAGTTAATGCTAATTCCAGTTCAACTACTTATTCTTTAGTTACCTGTAACTATTCAAACAGCTACTAGTATCTATCCTAGTACTACTAACTGAATAGAATCTAGCAACTGTTAATTAGAGAGTATATACTAATTATTACTATTAAAAGTTTAAACTTAATAGTAAGAATATAAAAAAATCTTAAAACTAAAAACTATTGGAATAAAAAAGTACTATTATAGGTAACACTTTACAATACGGTTTCATTAGTTAATATTAGTTAACTACTTTAACATGAATTAATTAACAATAGTTCTACAGCATTTATAAATCTTAGTTAATGTTCATTTCGACATTTATTAATACATTATTAAAATGTGGTATTTGTTAACACTAATGCAGTGTGAACTAACATGAATAATGAACAGCTGTACTTTTATTAACTAACATTAATAAAGATGAATAAATAACTGCAACAAATGTATTGCTCAATAGTTCATGTTAGATAATACATTAACCAATCTTAACTAATGAGACCTTATTGTAAAGTGTTACATTATTATCTAATGAATAGTTAGGCCTACTAGTAAAACTGAGGTACACTGAATAGCAAAAATGTGCTACTGACTAGGAGATGGATGTCAAGTATTGAAATAAGTACTAGTATATCATGAACAAGTGTGAACTAGTATTAATACTAGCAATATTATTTGTCCCTATGAGACCTCGAGTGAAGAAGGCAGAAAAAAAGTATTTAAACCGAGTGCGCCGTCAAGTGGTAATTCAAGGAAACCCTCAACAAGTAACCTCACAAGATAATGTTCAGCAGAAGTGGCAGAGCAGTGGCGGTTCTAGCCCATTTCAACTGGGGGGGCCAAGCTGGGGCCAGTTGTACTGTTAGAGGGGCCAGTTACATTTAGACCTTATTGTTGTCATATCATTTTCTGCACTGCTGCAGGCATTAACAGGCAAAATACCGTGTTTATAATCATTCAACAATGTATTTGCATTTCCATTATATTTTTACATTTGCATTACATATTCAGTATTAGTCACAGTAACTGTAATAGACATGATGTCCTTCTTTCTCTTCATTTTGAGAACTATAGAGCAAAAGCAATGGGGACCAAGAAGCTTATTAATTCATTTACTGAAAATAACTGACTTGATATGTCTAACCGTTTACAGGGTTCCTGCACACTTTTTAAAGTCAAATTTAAGGCTTTTTAAGACCTAAAGAAATCAAAATTAATACCGTACATTAGGGGTGTGCAATATTGACAAAAATATATTTCAATATTTTCAACATTTTGTTAATAATTAGATGATATTTTACTGATTGTGTTTTTGTGCTGGTGCCATGGCTGGTTTAAGCCTGTTGTTGACAGCTGACTCACGAAGATATTAATATTTTTCATATTCTATGCAGTGGTCAGTTCACAGCAGTGACAGAAATACATTTTTTAATTAAGGGGCAATATTTCCCACCTTAAATTGATTTCCAGGGGCATTTTCACCTATATATGGACATTTTTTCTAAACTTATTTAGAGTTATGCATCACCTTTTATGTCAAATACTAACATTCAAATTATACAGTAATTATACTTATTTATACAATAATACTTAATTATGCAATAATTATACAGTACCACTGTTACCAGTCAAATTAATTAATTCAATCAAAATCCATCTTTGCAGTGCAGAGGTGACACAGAAGTGGCATTCATATATTTACACTCCATTTACAATTGCATAAATAAAGCTATGAGATTTTTTTTAAATCAATATTTAAAAATGAAATTATTTCTAATTTTAACGTTTTAATTAAAGGATACTTTAAATATGAAACTAAAACCGCCAGTAGGCGGCGGCAAGTCCCTGTAAGAGGGATTCATTCATTCAAACGATTTGTTCAAACGGCTGATTTATTCGGGAAAGAAGCAAGTGATTCGTTCAAAACGCGGATTTCAGTCATCGCTGTGTTGCATTGAGACTCACTACGGTTTCATTATGAAATTCTAGTCGGCTAAATAAAGGGAATACAAACAATATTGACAATATTGTGTCTAAAAAGTAACTCCCAATGTTAACTTATTGTTAATTTAACTGTTGTATAACATAAATATCACAGTTGCAATTGTGCACGGGAAAACGGCACTCTTGCTGATGTGATAATATAAGAACATAATATGATATAAATATAAGACAAAAACTAATTTGGGGACATAGCCTACCTATGAACTGCACACAGCAGTGAAAGGACGATAGACAAATGCTATGTCAGCTCACAGTGCCTCGTACATAGTTAAAACAATGATTACAATATCATAATAGACAATACACATCGCACACCCCATACGCACATAAAGAATGAACTTACAACTGAACTGACATTTACCAAATTTCTTCTTCTCTCCTCTCTCGCGTGCAGGAGACAGGCGTTATTCTGCCGCGATTCCCGCGAATGTGATGCGAATTGTCACGTGAAAATGCAAATCCACAAAGATAGAAAAAAAAAAAAAATAATACGCATACAACGATAGCAAAAAAACAGTTTTGTAAAAATTATTTCAAACTCCACATTTAGGGGGGCCACAAGGGGGGCCAAGCTTTTTGTCACAGGGGCACGGGCCCCCCTGGCCCCCCCTCTAGAACCGCCACTGTGGCAGAGCATGCGAAATGCAAATGTTGACAAAATTTTTGAAAGGAAACTTACGGTAAAAGACGTACTCAGTGTAACTTGACCATATCTTGTCGTCAGTGTGCTGGTTGACGACCGAGGCCGTCACTGACGAGTTGCACGCGACCATCTGGAAACCACACTCCGAGAGCATGTCGAAAGAGCGCTCCAGGTGCTTGAACTTGAGGTAAAAGCGGGACGTGTACCTGTCAGGGGTCCTATCCGGGTCCCTGCTCTCGTTCAAGGTCTCGCCAAAAACTTCTTTGGCCAGCGCAATCCTCCCACATATCATAATCCGTGGCACCCTCCGGAATTTGGCATCGGTTTGACTCTCCCTACCCATCGTACAAGATCCCCGATATCCGACGGTTATGAACCCGCTTTTTCTGTCGGCGGGAACGAGCGAGGGTGGAGGGCACATTCTCTGGTCGCTTCCTTGAGACCCATCCTCGTAATCACTGTGGATGTATTCGTCGGGACTGGGCTTCAAGTCGTCCGGGCTTAAGAGTTTCACCAAATCAGGCAATTGAAAGTACTCCGCTTCTTTCCTCAGCCTCCCCTTCTCGGGGAAGTGGTCAGGGAGGACAACTTGCTTGTCTCTGAGGTAGTCTAACACATATCTGAACAAAAACCCATCCCGGTCGATGAAATAACGACCTTTGGGGTCCCTGGCGAGATCATTCGATGCGTTATTTTTAGGAGAGAATATTTTCCCCAAAAGGGAGCCAGGATTGCTTATTAACGTGACGTGTCGGGTATAATACACTTGCCCCCCGACGTTTAGTTCAATAACATCTGGAAAACTGTTGTCTTTAGCTTTAGAGTTTCCACTCAACGCCATTGTTTCAGTCATGGGTGACAAAATATCCGAGGGTGGAAAAGGCGGAAAAGTTCGCTCTACAGCTTAGGAAACGGTTCAGTAAATACAGACGATGGACCATGCACATTAAATGGCAAAACAATAGCATTTCAAGTAATTGGAGCAGGTTCCTTACATTTTAAAAATCCACGTCTTCTGCGAAGATAGATGAAAAAAAAAATTGGGAAAAAAAAAGAGCGAAAGTACGGTGAAATATCCGAGGAGGAACTATAACACGCGCACACCAGAGAGTTGCTCAGCAGCGTATGGACTGGGGCGCTTGTTTCTTCGCCTGAAAAAAGCTTGTATGCAAACGGAAGCTGCTGTTTAAATTCTGCAAAAACATTATAGAATACAATTTTTTTTTTTTTCTGTTTGGCCGTTCTAAAGTTCCATACAAGTTCTGCGGCGGTTTGAATCCAACTTTTGACGACCAAATCGAACCAGAATCTATAGTTTTAAAAGAAAACAATCGAAGACAGTTCAAAGCAAATGTTTCTACAATGGGGTTGATCGGTAATCCCAGCTGTTAAGAAGAAAATCCAGTGTGTGATCCTCTGCAATAATCCAGGGTTTTGCATGTTGGAAGGGTTTAGGAGTGAAGATGATGCAGCATCACTCTCTGTGCGCGCGATCAGGGCTGTGGCGCCAGAAAACAACGCTTCAGCTGTTGTTGCCTCAGCGGGCGGGAAAAAAAAACATAATGGGTTATCAAAAATTACATCATCTTAAAGGAGTATGCACGCGATGCTGTGGCGTTGCTGGTTTTCGCGTCAGTGTAGGCTATATATCATTGTCAGACAGCTGTGTTCTATACTTGATTTGGTTACAGGAAGGAAACCGATTGCCTGGAACATGTTGTGCCCTCGTGCTAAACATTTGCCAATGACTTACTGTATTTTTTTTAGAAGTATTCTCAGGTTGTGTGACGCTGTGAAGCCACAGTCAATTTCAGAACCTTGGACAGCGAAAACAAAATCTCCTCTTCCAAGCTTGATTCCCATCAGGGGTTCTTTACAGCAGGACTGACAAAGATCCTCACATGTGATGACACCCTTCCTAATACAAAAGCCATTTATACAGATTTATAACGTTTAAGTAAACAATTAAGCATGATATATTATAAAGACAGCATGTTCAATTAAATAATTTAACCAAATGGAAAGTCTTTTGAATTGCCATTGTTCTAAAAAGAAAGAAATGATTAAAAAACTGAAATCTTAAAAATATTCACTTTGTATTAAGATGGCAGAGTATCTTTTTCTGCATACTGTTAGAGTAAAGGCAGTGATGAGGAGAAAATCCCCAGCAATATACAAGTATGTTGCAACCTTTTCAAATAAACAATACTCATACTATTGCCAATTCATGTAGTTTTGCTAAATTTGATAAATGGTGCTTAAATCAATCATTTTACCCTACTATTGCATGTTTTACCCCCTGCAAAACCTTTTATTGTTTTAATTTGATTTGATTTTCACAAAAACTGAGTAGCTCTTTCAATATTGAATAAAACATTTAAAAAAAAATTCTTCAATCTTCTCACACTTTACAACCAGAAACAAATACTGTGTACTTTACCGTGGAAAGTATGTTCATAGATAGAGCGTCAGTGCATTCATTTGTAAGTAGGCCATGAGCTGTATTCATAAATGCATGCATGCCTTCACCTCTTGTATGCTGCTCCTTTCTCAAAGATATTTGAGTGTAGCAGTTGACATGGCTTACTTTAAATAGCTCAAACTCGACTCGCGTCTGGCAGATTTCCTGTTGTTTTTTCATGACTCTACATCTCTGAAAGCATTGGCATTCTTAATTTTTGAAAAGCTTTTCTTTTTCTTTTTCATTTGAAGAGTCTCTAAGGGCTCTCAGCAGGTATAGCTGTATTTATCAGAGAGGCCGGTTCCTCTCGTGTCTCTCTGATGTGTTTCGTCAGCAGACTTGTCTTTGAAAACACAAAGCTTTATGTTTTAGGTAAACCAATTACACCAGGCAAGAAACAAGTCTGACATAGAAAAAGCAGGTTTTAAGGATGGAGACTTTGACCTGTGATCATCTTTTTCCACAGTGTCTCCCTAATGTAATGCTTTTTATTCATTTTTTATCAGTGCTTTTTATGCTCGTTCCACCGGAACATTAGACCCAGTCCAAACTCAAGCTGTTCTAGTTTTAAAAGGTACAGATAACAGTTACAAAAGACTTTCACGCTATCACAAAGCTACCCTTTCATTTAACTAATTAAATGCTTCTGTAGGAAAGAACAAACCACCAAGCTTTTTCTATTTTAGGATAGAGAACTTCTTTCGTGCCAGAGTTTAGATGCAAGGAGTCTTCCCCGGAGAGGCAATTATCCTGGAACATTTCAATGTTCCCTGCATGTTCTTTTTTGACTAATGTATTTGCGAAGGTCAGTTAAAGGTCTTCAAGGGCACCCTTTCCGAATAAACCAGGTCTAATTGATGTTTTATGTAACTTTACACAGCATTGGGGAGCAGCTAGCTACAATTAACATAATGTAACTACATTTTTCAGTAGCTTGACGCTACTTCAACGAAGTAGCAGTGTAGCAACTCAAAATATACCGTATAACATCTATGCTTGTTTGGAATATAAACTAGCGATGGATGCGTCCAACAGTAAGTAATCCAAATTGGTTCAAGACTCAGGCTGAACTAAGTAAAACAATTACACACACAGAAAAGAAAGAAGTTACACAAAGGCACTTACTATAAATTACCATGACAAATCCTTGGGCATTACCATGTTTTCAGACATGGACAGTTAGATTTTTTTTCAGGATATTTGAGTGAAGACTTTTGTTGTTGACAAAAATGGAACGGCATGTAAATGCAGTTTTTTAGAAATACAGTAATAATATAACTGAAAATATTTAGGAAAAACATCTAGAAAAAGACGTGGATTTTTAAAATGTAAGGTACCTGCTTAGGAACTCCGAACTTTTCCGCCTTTCCCACCCTTGGATATTCCCCAGTTCCCTGAGAAGGGAACGAGACGCAGCGTCAGATTGATGTTACGTTTCTGCGTAAACCGGTGTCTGAAGCATGTGTGCCAATGTACCAATGAAATTGGTCTTTGAAGTAGTCAGATGATGTCCCGTAAGCTACTCAGCGAGACTATAAATAGACTCAAACATAGTCATCAGATGGTAATTGCCTGAACGTGACGCCCAGGCGTGTGTGCAGTATGGCAAAGCAACGCAGCATCTGGTTACCTTCTCAGGAAACCGGGATTAAATACGTAACCCCAAAGACACTCCCTTTTGAGGGAACTCAATGCTGCGTCAGACTAGTGCAATAGGAACATAGAAACCCACGCCGCCATACTGCAAAATGCCTAGTCAAAGGATGTTAATATGAATATGCACAAGTCTAAAGGTGATGATACACGGGGCAACTTTTTTGAGCAATGTTGCCGAGTGATGTTGGTTGGGTACTTTTTCAACAACAAATTTCCATCTGTATACTTTAGGGGCCCTATTTTAACGAGTTAGTTAGTGTAACAGCGCAGCTGTCACGGTGTGGTGCAGGTGAAGAAGGAGGCTGAATCAGAAAGGCTTCAATTCCAACAATTTACTTATAATAAAATAATAAACAGGTACAGGCAGGAAGACAGGCAGGAAGACTCGCAACAACACCAAAACATTTACACTATGACAATAACAAGAACCGACCAAGACAGACTGAACAGAGAAAACTAAATACAGATACAAACGACCACTAACGAGGTGAGGACAGGTGACACAGATGATTAAGACGATGAACAGGTGGATGATTGAGGGAGTGAATACAGGTGTGGAGACAAGAAGGATTCTGGGAAGTGTAGTGCAGACAAGGACAGACAGGTGCAGACGAGGACTGTGACATTACTCCCCCCTCCCGGTAGGCGTGTCCTCACGCCGTAGAACAGGGGTGGGAGGGTGGGCATCCTGGAGTCCGTGACGGGAAGGCGGACCGGTTGCAGGAGGATGGACTCCAGGATGGACCAGGCGGCCATGGCGGAGCAGGACGTGGGCGTGGCCAGGGCGGAGCAGGACGTGGGCGTGGCCAGGGCGGAGCAGGATGTGGGCGTGGCCATGGCGGAGCAGGACGTGGGCGTGGCTAGGGTGGAGCAGGACGTGGGCGTGGCCAGGGCTGAGCAGACGAACCCTCGGGCGTCCAGGGTGGAGCTGTCGGACCCTCGGGCATCCAGGGCGGTGGAGACCCTTCGGGCGGCCATGGCGGTGCGGACCCTTCGGGCGGCCATGGTGGTGAGGACCCTTCGGGCGGCCATGGCGGTGAGGACCCTTCGGGTGGCCATGGCGGTGCGGACCCTTCGGGTGGCCATGGCGGTGCGGACCCTTCGGGTGGCCATGGTGGTGCGGACCCTTCGGGCGGCCATGGTGGTGAGGACCCTTCAGGCGGCCATGGCGGTGAGGACCCTTCGGGCGGCCATGGCGGAGAAGCCCCTTCGGGTGGCCGTGGGTCCTTGGGCGCCCACGGCGAGGGCCTATGGCCCCCCCCAAAAAAATTAATGGGGAGAGTGACAGAGTCATTACAAGTCTCTGGGCTGGACGGAACCAGCGGTGAAGGGGTCTCTGGGCTGGACGGAACCAGTGGACTGGACGGGACGTGAACAGACTCTGGCTGGGCCGGCGTGTCGTGAAGCTCTGGCTGGACGGTCTCTGGCTGGACGGTCTCTGGCTGGACGGTCTCTGGCTGGGAAAGCGGAGAGGGCTCTTTGCTGGACAGGACCAGTGGCGAAGGTTTTGAGCTGGGCGGAACCAGCGGTGAAGTGGGCCTTGAGCTGGGCGGAACCAGCGGTGAAGTGAGCTTTGAGCTGGAAAGGAACCAGCGGTGAAGTGGGCTTTGAGCTGGGCAGAACCAGCGGTGAAGTGGGCTTTGAGCTGGGCGGAACCAGCGGTGAAGAGGGTTTTGAGCTGGGCGGGACCAGCGGTGAAGAGGGCTTTGAGCTGGGCGGGACCAGCTGTGAAGAGAGCTTTGAGCTGGACGGGACCAGCGGCGAAGGAAGCTCAGGGCTGAACGGGACTAGCGGCGAAGGAAGCTCAGGGCTGGACGGGACCAGCGGCGCAGGATCAGCGGGCTCTGGCGCAGGATCAGCGGGCTCTGGCGCAGGATCAGCGGGCTCTGGCGCAGGATC